GTGTCCCCGGCCTGGCAGGGCTTGATGAGGGTGGGGCTGGCCAGGTCTTGGTGTTGCCCAATGGGGGTGGGGCCGGCCAGACACTTCTATTATAGAGGAAGGGCAAATAGCAATATTAAAATATTTCCTCTAATTAATTCCCTTTTAATGTGCATGAATTTTGTGTACCAGGCCATTAGTAATGCTATAATAAACATAAGGGGTGCACATATCTTTTCAAATTAATGTTTTTTTGTTTTCTTTGGATAAATATCCACAAGTTGAATTTGCTGGATGGCATGGTAGTTCTATTTGCAACATTCTCAGGAATTTCCATTCTGTTTTCTATCATGACTGTACCAGTTTACATTCCTACTAACAGTACTCAAGGGTTCTATTTTCTCCAAATTCTCACCAACACTTATATTTTTATCTTTTTGATAACAGCCATTTTAAAAAATGTGAGGTGATATCTCACTGTGGTTTTGATTTGCATTTTCCTGATGATTTATGATGTTGAGCATTTTTTCGTGTACCTTTTGGCCATTGTATGTCTTTTTTTTTTTTTTTAAATGTCTATTCAGATCTTCTGCCTATTTTTTAATTTCATTTTTTTGTTTGGTTGATTCTTTTTATTGTTGTTGTTGTTGCTATTGAGTGATATGAGTTCTTTATATACTTTTGGGTAGTAACCCCTTAGGAGGTATATAATTTGCAAATATTTTCTCAAATTCAGTAGGTTGCCTTTTATTTTGTTGATGGCTTCCTTTGCTATGGAAAATTTTTTAATTTGATGTAGTCCTATTTGTTTATATTTCACTTCCATTGCCTTTACTTTGGGTGTCAGATAAAAAAAAAAATTCATTGCTAAGATCAATGTCAGGGAGCTAGCTGCCTGTGTTTACTTTAAGGAGTTTTATGGCTTTAAGTCTTATGTTCAAGCATTCAATCCTTTTTGAGTAAATTTTTGTGTAGGGTATATGATAGTGTCCAGTTTCCTTTTTTTAATGTGGCCAACCAGTTTTCCCATTACCATTTATTAGAGAGACTATCCTTACCAATTGTGTATTATTGACTACTTAGTTATAAATTAATTAAACATAGGGTGTTTTTGTTGTTGTCAGTGGATTATGCTGTGTTTTTGTTCTTGTTGTTTTTTCTGGGTACCCATTTTATTCCATTGATCTGTCAGTTTTTATACCAATATTATACTGTTTCAATTACTATAGCTTTGTAATGTAGTTTGAAATCAGGAAGTGATTTCCAGCTTTGTTTATCTTTATCAAGATTGCTTTAGCTATTTAGGGTCTTTTGTGGTTCCATACAGATTTTAGGATTGTTTGTTCTATTTCTTTGAAAAATTTTATTGGAATTTTAATAAGGATTGCATTGAACCTTTACATTACTTTGTGTAGTATGGACATTTTTACAGTATTCATTCTTCCAGTCCATAAAGATAAATTGAATACCTTTTCATTTTCTTTGCATCATCTTTAATTTCTTTCATTACTGTCTCATAGTTGTCAGTGTACAGGTCTTTCACCTTTTTGGTTAAATTTATTCAAGGTACTTTATTCTTTTAGATGCAATTGTAAGTGGAATTGTCTTCTTAATTTCTGTTTCTGATAGTTCATTTTAGTGTATAGAAATGTAACAGATTGTTGTATATTGATTTTTGTATCCTGCAACTTTACTGAATTGATTTAGTTCTTCGTTTGTGGAGTCTTTAGGATTTTAATATATATAATACATCATCTGCAAATAGTGACATTTTTGCTTCTTCCTTTCCCATTTGGTTGCCTTTTATTTCTTTTCTTGGGTAATTGCTTTGTTGAATAAAGTGGCTAGTGTGAACATTCTTGCCTTGTTTCTGATTTTAGAAGGAAAGCTTTCAGCTTTTAGAGGTTGAATATGATGTTAGTTGTAGATTTGTTGGATATGATATTATGTTAAGGTACATTTCCTCTAAATCCACTTGGTTATGAGTTTTTATCATAAATGGATGTTAAATTTTATCATGTTTTTTTCTGTATCTGTTGAGATTAGGTGATTTTTATCTTTGATCTGGTTAATGTGGTGTATTACCTTGATGGATTTGTGTGTGTTAAGCCTTACACCCCTGGAATAAATCTCATATGATCATGATTTATTAATTCTTTTAATGTATAGTAGGATTTTCTTTGCTAATAGTTGAGTATTTTTACAGCTGTTTTAATCAGGGACATGGCCTGTAATTTTCTTTTCTTGTGGTGTGTTTGCCTGGTTTTGATATCAGGGTAATGCTGGCCACATAAAATGAGTTTGGAAGTGTTCCCTCCTCTTCTATTTTTTGGGGAGAGTTTGGGAAGGACTGGTACTAATTTTTCTTTAAATGTTAGGTAAAATTCACCTGTGAAGCTGTCTGATTTTGTATTTTTGTTCTTTGGGGATTTTTCACTATTGAATCTATCTCCTTACTAGCAATAGTCTGATTAGATTTTTTATTTCTTCATGAATCAGTTTTGGCAGGTTATGTTTATAGGAATTCTTTCATTTCTTCTAGTTTGTACAATTATTGGTGTATAATTGTTTATAGTAGCCTTTTATGATGCTTTGTATTTCTGTGGCATCTGTTTTAGGTCACTTCTTTCATTTCTGATTTTGTTTCCTCATTTTTTCTTGGTGATGATTTATCTTCATCTCACTAAGGTTTTATTTTCTGAAGTTTTACCTTCTTTTATTTCTTGACTTTCTGTGCTAATTTATAGGGATTAGATCAGAAAGCCCCTCTTCCAGTCTCGAATGGTTGGCCTTGTGTAAGAGATGAACCTAATCACTCAAACCTGCCCTGTCTCTTGATGGTCTCTCACACCTTGTGACTGCCCAAGCACCTATTTGTAAAGGCTCCCAGTGGTTTAGGTGTGCCACAACCAGCCAGCGTCCCAAAGAGGAGCTCAGTCAGCACCTAGTTTCAGACGAATTGGGAGCCAGACTCTCAAGTGGCTTTGAAAATGCACAGCCCTGTGGGGCCACAGTGTTAAGCCCCAATGGCCACCAGAGCCAAGAAACCTGGAGGGACCCGCTGGTGGCAGCTGCAAAATTCGAGACTCCCCTCATGCATTATATAACTAGCCTACCTCATCGCCGATGCCGAGCCCTGCAGAGTTAGGCTTAAAAATAAGTCCTCAGCCATGTCACTAAGTTAAGATGCAAATTATAGAACAGCATATAGAGGTGATGCTGTTAACAAACGCATGTGTGCGCACACACACTGTTTCTCCACGGGCGTCTATGTAAATGGCAGGAGCAGGCCTAGAAGGAAGCATCTGAAACCGATGGGAGCGCTTCCCTCTGAGGAGAACCTGGATTGGAAGTGGCGGTCACCTTACCTGAATGCCTGAATGTTTTTCACGGTGGAAAATAAAGTCAATAAATACTTTTGAATTTTTAATATTTACTTAAAGGAAAAAGCTTTCTAAAGTTGAACTGACAAATAATAGTGATTTTAATAGTTAAGAATAGAAAAGATAGTGAGCAAAACGTAATTCCCTACCATGGGCAATGGATAAAAAATGTAGAGATTATATAGCAGGTTCCGTAGAAGTGAAACAGTGCCTCTTCCCTTCCCCTGCCCCCACACGTATCCTTTGTCCACGGGCGTTATCTCACCAGAGCAGCTACTTCCAGGCTTTTCTAATGGTGTTAGAACACCAATCCTTACAGGTGCATATAGAAAAATATGACAAAACTACGTTTTAATATAAAATCAAAGGCACCTCTTTACCTCCTTCTTGGAAGTTTTGGGCAGTTGGTCTTGACCATTTCTCCTGCACCTAACGCAGCCATTCTCAAGGGGAAAGGGGAGCCTCAAACCAAAGCAAGGCCTGCAAACACACCCCTACGGGGAGTCAGGAGCTCCCTGGCCACTGCCAGAATGTATCCGCTGCTGTGCAGGGCAGCGACGAGGCAAAGCCGTTCACTTTCAGGACCAACTTTAGCATTACCAGTTATCTGGCCAGAAAGAATCATTGTGTCAATTATGTCTCAATAAAAAACATAATGATACTAACGAGCCACACAAACCCCAAAAGCTATCTTCAGAGTCAAGTCCCCACCCCAAAGAAAACAAAACCACTCCGTGGTTTATTGGCTCTCTGCTTTGCTATACAGTAATATAGACTTGATGGCATAGAGTAGGGGTGTCGAACTCAATCAGAGAAGGGGCCAAAATCTAAAATCCAGCCTAAATCGCGGGCCGAATGGTTTACCGAACAGTCATAAACTGTCACTGTGATGGAAACGCAGCGGAGTGCAGTGATGACAGCGCGGTGCGGGCCACATTGCAAGGCCTGGCGGGACGGATTTGGCCCTCGGGCCTTGTGTTTGACACATGTGGCATAGAGGCAGAATGCCGGGTTCAAACACATTTCAGTAGTGTGACTGGGCCAGTTAGCTAAACCTCTCTTGCCTTAGGTGCCCCATCTGTAAACTGGGGGTGACCATGAGGGCCTCTTCAAATCCTAGTAATGAAGGATCTAGGGCAGCGGTCGGCAAACTGGCTCGTGAGCCACATGCGGCTCTTTGGCCCCTTGAGTGTGGCTCTTCCACAAAATACCACGGTCTGGGCAAGTCTATTTTGAAGTGGCGTTAGAAGAAGTTTAAAAAATTTGGCTCTCGAAAGAAATTTCTATCGTTGTACTGTTGACATTTGCCTCTGTTGACTAATAAGTTTGCCGATCGCTGATCCCTAGGACACCACAGCCGTCTGAAGAGTGCCTGGTGTGCAGGAAAGCACTTACATAAGCTCTGCTGTTAGCATCAGAATCGATAGGATGGTCCAAGACACCCTACTCTGAATGCTCTGCTGCAATGTGGATATGACACCTGTCCTCCTCACATGTGCCCACACGGGGAGTGTAAGTGCTAGCTGTGAGATGCTCACTGGCCAAATGGCCATGTGTTCTAAGGGCAAGTCTCTTCCCTGAGAACAAGGCTGTTCTGCACACAGGGCCCCTTCACTAGGGATCTGACCTATTTCCATGGGGACCTGGTCTTTATTGAGAACACTCCATGACTTAATAAACACACAGTGGAGAGCCATCTCTCGGTGTCTGCAGTGATAACAGAAGTGAGATCTAGATAAACAGCCGGTGGCCCTCTAGCATGAAACAGTTTAAACAGCAACAAGGTAAAACGCTCTGTGTCTAGTACATGGTATGAATTCAGACTTTAAAAAAAAAGTGGGCTTTGGTTTGACAGCTCTTTATTCAGTGGCCCTGCACCTCAGATCGCTTTTGGAACCATTCTGTCCAAAGAGGTGCAATGGGACTGCCTTCTTCCCGGCGCACCTCCCGTATTGGGGAGGTCTCAGCAACACAACTCAAAGCACCTCCTGCCCCACCCAGGCTCTGGGCCGGGAGGGGGCGGAAGGACACACGGGGAACGGGGTGTTGTCCAGCACAGGTTAACGCCGCTCCTTTGGGCCTGTTGCAGGGATCATGTACCGCAAGTCGTGTGCCTCCTCCGCAGCCTGCCTCATCGCCTCGGCCGGGTACCAGTCCTTCTGCTCCCCCGGGAAACTGAACTCGGTGTGCATCAGCTGCTGTAACACCCCCCTGTGCAACGGGCCGCGGCCCAAGAAGAGGAGCAGCTTGGCCCCCGCCCTCCGGCCAGGGCTGCCCGCCACCCTCCTGCTCCTCACAGCCGGCCTCCTCCTGGCGCACTGCTGAGGGAGACGCCTGCCCGCCTGCATCCTCCTTGGCTCCAGCTCGCTCCCCGGTCCATGAGCTCTCCGGGCATGCTTTGATTCTGGGTAGGGAGCCTTCGTTTTTGTTCTTTTCGTCCCTTTGCAACTAATGGAAGAGCTCCGTGTGAAACATTCTTGTAAGCTCTGAATCAATCCAGCCGGACTGAATCTTCAGCGTGTGCTTAGGAGAAGGGAGGGGATGGCACAGTCCCCGTCTGTAACCAGCGACAAGGCTGCAGAGGTGGAGACCGAAGTGGACATCTGCCTGCCCGAGGCCCCTGGCTCTGGCTCCTGTGCCTGGTGGTGCGGGAGCAGGTGTGGTGTCACAGCCGAGTGCGGGAGATGTGGCTGTCACCCGCAGGGCAGGCTAGCACCCCAGGCTCTCCAAGGTGACCATCACACTTCGTGCTCCTGAACACCGTTCTCTGCGGCAGCGCTGGCCGGGGCCGTCTCCGACCCGGGCTCCGGGGACTCGGGACTCGATGGCTGGGGCTTGGCTCCAGCTCCGGCCTCGCTCTGGAAGGTGCTCAGGAAAACCTTGGGGGACGTCCTGGTGGAGGAGGAGGAGCTGCGGCGGGAGGCCAGGCGGAGCAGCGGGCGGCGGGAGCGGGCGCTGTCCCCCGGGGAAGCCGAGGCGGAGGCGGCCAGGCCCCGCAGGCGCCGCTCCTGGTTGGCGTGCAGCAGCGTCAGGCGGCAGCGCAGCACCTGCCAGAAGACGGCGCGGAACTGGCGCGAGGACACGTTGTAGAGCAGCGGGTTGATGACGGAGCTCAGGTAGAAGAAGGTGTCCGAGAAGGGCAGCAGGGTCATGTACGCCTGGAAGTAGGCGCGCGTCCAGTCGTGCTTGGGCCGGGACGCGGCCATGATTCTCCGGATCTGGTTGGGCATCCAGCAGATGGCCAAGGTCAACACGATCAGCCCTGAGCAGGTGGGTGGTGGTGGGGGGAGAGAGAAAAGAAACAAAACACACAGCATGAGAACAGCAAAACCACCAATTTTTGCCCCTCCCTTCTGTGCTCAATGGCCAAAAAACGGGTACCCCGTTTTTCAATGTTGTGTTTGACAGCTTCCGCAAAAAATGTCCCCTCCTCTCAATGCTGGGGGAGTTGACTGTGTTCAAGACCATTAAATGCTTTAGACAGTTTATTGGTACCTGTGAATGCCTGTTCATTTAAAAGTGGTTTGTGTGTCCAGAAAGCATTTTATGCAGTCCGTTAATCTAGTTATGTCTTTTTTTTTAATCGATGTATACAGCATAGCCACGTCTGATGAAATATTTGCATTTTAAAGAAGACCAATGGAAATGGTAACAAAGAAGCCTATTTTAGTGACACTGATCTCACATTCAGTTTTTAGGGAAGCAACATCAAGACGAGCCTGTCACTGCGAATTTTTTACAGACATTTATGAGGTTTGCACACCTATAATTATAACGCTCAGATCTGCAACAGCAATTGCTTCTTTTTAAATGTTTTTTAAAAGCACAATTATCCAACACAATGGAAACTAATAGAAAAACTTCCTACACAGTCCTTCAGTAGGTGCTCATTGCCGTGTGGCACTGAGGAGAAGCTGACGGCCTGGACATAGGTCTGGCTGCCCACATGTCTGCCTTCCAACTTACACAGTCATCGCTATTTCTGTGGCCTCTGACAGAGAAAGATGCAGTTAGGCCACAATCAACTAATATCACAGCATTCATGATATTCATGAGCATTTATTCTACAGTCCCCCCCCCCAAAAAAAAACAAAAACGAAACACAGATGTCAGATCAGAAAGCAGCAGCAGGGTGAGGTGGGAGGGTGGGCAAGGGACCAGAAGGTAAGTGAGCAGAGCTGATATGCTAAAGCTGTGTTTCCGATCTCCAGAAACGCTTCATCCCGCTCCTAAATTTGAATAATATAATAAGGGAAATTTACATTTTACAAACCCTCCGATATTCTAGGAAACCACAGGAAAGTGATTATTGGCCATGGTCCCTTCCTGCCTCTGATCAACGGTAAATATTTCACTAATTAATGCTCCAGGGAAAACGCCATGTTTACCCATCCAGGGCGGGCCCTCCTGCACGCTCTCGCCTGAGCATCCCTTACCTGGTGGCAGACTGGCCGTAGGTGTATTCTCTGGCACTGAAATAACTCAGTCCCCCCCACCCCCCATAACCCTCCATGAATGGCAGCTGTTAGCAAAGAGAGCTGTAGGAACTCTGCTCCCTGTTAATTTCCAAGGGTTTCTCCAGTCAAATCTCAGCCCAAGCTTGAAATACAACCCAATTTGCTTATTTCCTTACTTTGAATTTGCTACCTTGAAAACACTCAGTAAATCTAAAAATAAAGCAGGCAAAGTCACATAGCGATATGATAAAAAGGCAAAAGAGATCATTTTAAGTCAAGGGTGTATTCTGAATCACCTACTTACAGCAGCTGGATGGGAACACAAATCAACATTTTTCTGATTAAAAAAAAAAACCAACAACTTTGGGAGGAAATTGGGGGCTTTTTTACACAGTTTTCTGAAGCACGGGCATACGGGCATTCCCAGCCCCCTGTGCTTAAGTCATTCCATCTGTGCTCTTAAGTCATTTCTCCTTGTTTTGATCTCACACAGCTCTGACTGAAAGGATCACCTCATTAACTGCTCAGGAGCTAGGCCTCAGCACACCTAGGGAAGTTATGTCTTCCCCGCCGCTGACTTTCTGAGAACAAGTACAGCTATCTTCATCTGATGGGAATGGAGCACAGGGTTAGATCAGTGCTGTGCTACACACGGTAGGAGGCGGTAAGAATCTGAGAACTGCCTTGTACTTTCCACAGCTTGAACATAGCGCAGTTTTAAAGCCGGTGGAAGAAAGTGAGGAAGAAGGCATGCTGTGGGTGGGTGGGGAGAAGACATCCAAGTGTTCTCTTCTGCTCTCCCTGCTCCTGTCCCATTCATCTCTTATTTGCATGACCCTGATCTGTTACCTTCCTACCTTCGCCTGGCACCAAATGCATTGATTGATTTTCCCATCGAATGAAACAGAGGCAGAAAAAACAAGACCTCAGCACCCGGTATGAGGCAGGGAGTAGGGGTTAACAAAGAGTTGTGGCCTGGTATATAGTTGTAGCCAGGAGAGAGAACTCTGGTTCTGAAATCAAAATGAGCTGAAATAGGTGAGAAATACCTTAGTCTGGAAAAGTAGCAGAACATAGGGAGCCAGGCCCAAGGTGCTTCAGTGAGGAGGAAAAGAAGGGAAATCTCGGCTTCCTGGCTGTGGGAGTCAGTAGATGTGACACCAAATGGACAGCAAGAACCAAGGAGCTGAGTTAGACATGGACCCGGATTCAAGATTAGGCATCCAGCAGGTCTTGAGCTATAACCAAGAATAATGCCAATTTCAGTGGGTTTTCCCTGTGTCAGGCTCTGCACTAAGCATCCTCTGCTAATTTCCTATGCATGCCTCACTTCTGATAAAATTGTTATCTTCACCTTACCTGCCCATGTGCTATATAAACTAGGACACATGCTTGCCGAACTTCAAAATCCAAGATAAGTACTTTTTCCTCAAGGACATAATATTGCCTGTTTCTCATGTTTCCAGTTTGAAAAATAGTCAACACAAGGAAGCAGGGCAGAGCCCTAATTCTACCATGCAAAGTGGCTATATAGCGGCACTGTCCACCGGAAATATAATGTAACCTAATGCGATTTTAAAATTCCAAGTAGCCACATTAAAAACCAAAAAGAGACCGGGGAAATCAATCTCATAACAGCCTCTGTAACCCAATACAGCCCAAATATTTTCATTCCGTGTGTATTTTCAATGTGTATTCAAGCTAATGTTATATATGAGATGTTTTACTTTTTTTTGTTTTTTGTTTTTCTTTCTCCATACTAAGTCTTTGAGAGCCAGTATGGCTCTATGCTTATAGCATATTTCATTTAGGACCAGCAAGAGGTGGCTGGTGGCTACAGCATGGCTTAAATAGCTTTTGTAGCGCTCCCCCCCCCCCCCCCCCCATAGCAGGGCTCCCTATTTCCTTCTATTCCCATTTCCCCACCTGCTCCCTTCCAGGCCACATACCCAGACAGTCCTGTCACACCAAGGACACCCATGGCCTGAATTTATCATCCTCGGGTCTGACCATGCAACCAAGGTTGACCCTCAGCCATGGTGTAGTCACATTTTATCCATCCTTTCACATAAAGCGTTTCATATAAGGGGCTACAACTTACCTAGAGCCTAGAGAATGATGAAAGCACTCTGTTTTGCATTGCTCTTTCTAAACCTGGCCCACTCACTCTGGAACCGGTTGTGCCAAATCCCTGGCGAGGATGTTGGGATACACTTCCTCTACCTCACGAGAGGTGGGGAAAGTGGCGGTGCCTTTCCCCCTGTGAGAGAGAATTCTGTTCTGGGAAAATGGAGCTTTGGGCTATGGGTACAGCCAACAACAGATGAGAGGTGTGTGCCCGTGGCGATGTCCCAGAGGTTAGCCTCTCCTGGGGCAAGGGGACCAAGCCAGCATCCTTGTAAAGTTTGTCATTTTATAAGGCTGGGTGATGGCTCACTTTTACATTTGGAAAAGTTCATTATTTCACATGACACGTCGTTGAGAATAAACATCACACCCAAAGGTGGTTTTATTATGGCTGTTTGCAACCGGGTCAGCACCAGTCCCAGCTACTCTGCAGCGAAGACAAAGCTTTAAAGCACATGTGTCAAACACAAGGCCCGCGGGCCAAATCCGTCCCGCCAGGCCTTGCAATGTGGCCCGCACCGCGCTGTCATCACTGCACTCCGCTGCGTTTCCATCACAATGACAGTTTATGACTGTTCAGTAAACCATTTGGCCCGCGATTTAGGCTGGATTTTAGATTTTGGCCCCTTCTCTGATTGAGTTCGACACCTCTACTTTAAAGTGTTAGTCACGCCTTAATAGAGCATATTAAAGATTTGACTAACTTTACATTTGGCTCCAATCAATTTGGACGTGCATATTACACTTGGAAAAATCTATAACGCTTTGCTCTGTGTGTGGTGTAGCGTGCAGTCCGCAGTTAAATAACTTGAGTGTGAACTTGAATGGAGATCAGTGGACTGAACCGAGTCATGGAAAGTATCGTAGGTAAACAGTTTTAACTGAATTATGGATAGATCTGCATTGTACTCCAGACTGTCTTGTGTTCTGGCTTAAGAAATACCTTCAGATTTTATCTCTCCTCCCTCCCCCCCCCACACACACATTAGATACTTCCAGTTTTCTTCTTTGATCACTACACGAAAATAACAAGGCCCATTAGGCTTGCTCTCTGCAGTGTGAAGATGTTTAAGAGACAGAAGGATGCCCACGTGCAGCAGCATCCCGCACCCAGCCTGGCATTTCCGCAGCATCCAGCTCGGATTAGTCTGCAGAAGGGCACTAAGCCACCCCAGAGCCCGCCCGCCTTCATACACCTGATCAGGCTCCGCTTGATCCCCTCTAACCTTTAAAGTGGAGGCAGCTGTTTGTCCCCAGAACTCCTCTCAGAGTCATCGGAGAGCTGGAGACAGGAGAGAGACCCGCCCCAGAACCCCACAGAAGTTGGGACCCAGGCAAAGTGATTCACTCGGGATCTCAGGGGAAGGAGCGGGGACGAGGGGTGGGGGTGCGGGGCAGGATGCCTTTGATCTTGCCATACTGTTCAGAACACTGAATTCTGCCCTAAATTGACAATCAAGCCCATCGCTTTTAAATGCAGTGTTGTTTTTCAGTTGTAGGCCCAGGTGCTGACATGCCTAGCATGGAATGCCGTGAGAGGCAGGGCCCTCTCAGACCACAGGGAAAGTAGGCACATCTCAATATTCTGTCTAGATTCAGTCTTAGAACCGTGTCTCTCGAGAAGGGGCACCGACAAAGCTCAGGAGCACGAGTACTCTCCTCTTCCCAAACACATATA